AAAAGAGAGGTTACGCCAGGCCGGCCTGCTGGAATAGAAATGTTTTAATGGCACGGCTGAAAGCACGCAAATCCGGGATCCTCCGTATCTCCGGGGGGAGCTCGTTCCAGATGGTGGGTGCCCCCACAGAGAAGGCTCTCCCCCTGGGGGCCGCCAGTCGACACTGTTTGGCTGACGGCACCCTGAGGAACCCCTCTCTATGGGAGCGTACTGGTTGGTGAGAGGCTACTGGTGGCAGAAGACGGTCTTGTAGATAACCCGGTCCTAAGCCATGGAGCGCTGTAAAGGTGGTAACCAAAACCTTGAAGCGCACCTGGAAGACCACCGGGTGCCAGTGCAGCTCGTGCAGGAGGGGAGTCACATGGGAGCACCACGTCGCTCCCATAACCACCTGTGCGGCTGCATTCTGGACCAGCTGGAGCCTCCGGGTGCTCCTCAAGGGGAGCCCCATGTGGAGAGCATTGCAGTAGTCCAGGCGGGAAGAGATGAGGGCATGAGTGACTGTATTTAACGAGTCCCGATCCAGAAAGGGACGGAACTGGCGAATCAGGCGAACCTGATAAAATGCCCTCCCGGCCACAGCTGTCAAGTGCTCTTCTAAAGACAGCTGTGAGTCCAGGAGGACCCCCAAGTTGCGAGCCCTCTCTGTGGGGGCCAACGACTCACTCCCAATAGTCAGTGATGGCACCAACTGACTATATCAGGATGTCAGAAACCACAGCCACTCGGTCGTGGATGGGTTGAGCCTGAGTCTGTTCCTCCCCATCCAGATCCGTACAGCCTCCAGGCACCGGGACATCACTTCAAGGGCATCATTGAGGTGGTCCGGGGTGGAGCTGTACAGCTGGGTGTCATCAGCGTACTTGAGGTACTTCACCCTGAAACCACGGATGATTTCACCCAGCGGCTTCACATAAACATTGAACAGAAGGGGCGAGAGGACCGACTCTTTTGGCACCCCACATACAAGGGGCCTCGGGGTCGACCTATGCCCCCTGCCAACACTGACTGTGACTGGTCGGACAGGAAGGAGGAGAACCACCGCAACATGGTGCCTCCCACCCCTAACTCTTCCAGCCGGTGCAGCATGATACCATTGTCGATGGTATCAAAAGCCGCTGAGAGGTCTAATAGGACCAGGACAGAGGAACAACCCCTGTCCCAAGCCCTCCAGAGATCATCAACCAATGTGACCAATGCCGTTTCCATGCTGTACCCAGGCCTGAAGCCCGACTGGAACGGATCCAGATAAGCTGATTCATCCAGGTACTGAGGGAACTGTTGTGCTACCACACTCTCAACAACCTTAGCAAGAAAGCGAAGGTTGGAGAGTGGACGGTAATTAGCCAATACTGCCGGGTCCAGGAAAGCCTTCTTGAGGAGAGGTCTTACCACCACCTCTTTCAAGACGGCGGGAAAGACACCCTCACTCAAAGAAGTATTTATAATCCTCTGGAACCAGCCTCGTGTAACCTCCGAGAGGCCAGCACCAACCAGGAGGGACACGGGTCCAATAAACATGTGGCAGCATTCAGTCTACTCAGTATCCTGTCCATGTCTTCGGGAGTCACAGAATCAAACTCTTCCCAGATAATATTCTCAAGACCTGCCTCCATCCTCCCCCCTGAATCTACCCCGTCAGAGTCTAGATGTTCTGGAATCTGAGCGATTTTATCATACAGATACTGTACAAAGTCCTTGGCTCTACCCTCCAAGGGTAGAGGAGCAGGGAGCGGGTCACCCTAAACATTCATATATAATGAATATGAACTCCACCTATGTGGAAATGTTGTAAAGGAGAAAACTGTCAAAAAAATTTAAAAACTGTTTCATAAAAATTATTTTTTTAAAAAAGAGAGAGAATCCAAGTTAGGACCAATCATTTAGAAAATAATGAGTTCAACTTTCCAAAACAGACACCATAACAAGCTAAAATAGGAACTGATACTAGTGTCCAATCTCATAGGCTGAAATTTGTGCCTCCCTCCAAATCACCTAAGCTATCATGACATAACCAAATCTCATAAGAGTTTTTATTCTTTGCTACCTCTCCCATCTAATATTGCTTCTAATTTTTGTCCTCTTCAAATCCAGAAATATTTTAAATCCAGAAATATTATGTCTTTGAAACCACAGTTTTATTAATATTCACCAGGATTTGCACCTGGTGGAAAATTTCTGCTGGGTTCAGGGCCTGATTTGTGGAAGCCCAATGAATGCACAGCTGGGTGGAGACTGATAGAACTTCTATTCTGCGCAAAAGAAAGGATACCAGGAGACGTGTTCTGAAGCTTGTGTGCCCGTCGCCTCCTTGGTTCCTACTTGAAAGGAACAAAGGATTTTGGGGTCATATTCCTGTATGCATGCATTCATTGTTAATTACAGCATTGAGACAACCATTTCTCTCTTTCCCATATCTAAATTCTGTTTTTTGTGTCTGCGTTTATCTTGTCCTATGATACAGTGGGGTTACATGACAGCAAGTGTAATAGGATTAGAAATCCTGAGTATAGCATTTAAATCAGGGGTGAAATCTAAAACTTTCCCCTACCGGTTCTGTGGGCGTGGCTTGGTGGGGCGTGTGTCCTGTGACTGAGTGGGCATGGCCAACTCGATGTCACTCACAGCCACGCCCATTCAGTCACAAGACCCCCTTCCACCAAGCCACGCCCACAGAACCCGGTAGGAAAACTTTTAAAATTTCTTTCTCCTGCGGCTCCGCCCACCCGCCTCATTCCCCGGACTCAGGGAATGCACCATTCCTGGACTCCTACTGCTCACCTTTCTCCCGTGGCTGGCTGTCAGGGAAGGCAAGTGCCCAAAAGGTAGCAGAGTCGCTCACTCTCCTTCTTGTGGAGCCGTTCTGGTCCACATGCTGGCTGCGCAAGCGCACAGTTTATTTAATTCAGTGGCAGATTGGATGTGCGCTTGCTCAGCCGGCGCCTGGACCAGAGCTGTTCATTCAAGAAAGAGAGTGAGCGACTCTGGTACCTTTCGGGCGCTTGCCTTCCCTGACAGCCAGCCACAGGAGAAAGGTGAGCAGTAGGAATCGGAGAATGCACCATTCCTCAACTCCGGCCTTGCCACAGAGCCACTGCCTATTCGCCCTTCGCCATGCAGCTCCGCCCACCTGCCCCATTCCCTGGAGTCGGGGAATGCACCATTCCCGGACTCCTACTGTTCACCTTTCTCCTGCGGCTGGTGTCAGGGAAGGCAAGCGCCCAAATGGTAGCGGAGTCGCTCACTCTCCTTCTTGAATGAGCCGCTCTGGTCCACGCGCCTGCTGCACAAGCGCACATCCAACCTGCCGTTGAATTAAATAAACGATGTGCGCTTGCGCAGCCGGCGCGTGGACCAGAGCGGCTCATTCAAGAAGGAGAGTGAGCGACTCCACTACCTTTCGGGCACTTGCCTTCTCTGACAGCCAGCTGTGGGAGAAAGGTGAGCAGTAGGAGTCCAGGAATGGTGCATTCCCTGAGTCCGGGGAATGAGGCGGGTGGGCGGAGCCTCCAGCTGCCATTGATACCGGTTCTCTGAACCACCAGCCATCATTGCTACCTACACTCCCGAGCCGGTCCGAACTGGGAGCATTTCACCTCTGATTTAAATCATTCATCTTTAAATTTGAACAGGGTAGACTAAACAATTTGGTATGTGGTCTTAAGGCCTTTGTCTATCAAATAAAGAAAATCATGCAGGCAAATCAACTATGGAGAAGAACTATGGTCAAACAATTGGCAACTCACAACCAACAAATGCTCTGTCTTACACAATGGCAAAAAAAAAATCAGAACACAAAATACAAGCTGTGCAGATACGACCTAGTAGACAACGCTCACTCTGTCAAGAATCTTGGAGTACTCATCTCTAATGATCTAAGTGCCAGAGCCCAGTGTAACAACATTCCCCAAAAGGCATTGAGAGTTGTTAATCTAATCTTGCATAGCTTCTTCTCTGGTAATATTGTACTGCTAACTAGAGGATATAAAACATTTGCTACACCAATTCTTGAATACAGCTCATCTATCTGGAACCTGCACTGCATATCGGACATTAATACAATTGAGAGAGTCCAGAGATATTTCACGAGAAGAGTCCTCCACTCCTCTGCTCGCAACAGATTACCTTATGCCACCAGGCTTGAAATTTTGGGCTTAGACAATTTAGAACTATGCCGCCTTCGGTCTGACCTAAGCGTAGTACACAAAATTATCTGTACAACATCCTACCTGTCAATGACTACTTCAGCTTCAACTGCAACAATACACGAGCACACAATAGATACAAACTTAAGGTAAACTGCTCCAAACTCGATTGCAGAAAGTACGACTTCAGCAACAGAGTGTGCAATGCCTGGAATGCACTACCTGACTCTGTGGTTTCTTCCCCAAACAAACCCCTAAAACTTTAACTTTAGACTGTCTACTGTTGATCTCACCCCATTCCTAAGAAGTTTGTAAGGGGCATGCATAAGCGCACCAACGTTCCTACCGTCCCTGTCCTAATGTCCCCTTTTACTTGTATCCATTTCATGTATTCATAATCATGTTTATACTTACAGTATATCTGTTATCTAATACATGCTGACAAATAAAATAAAATAAATAAAATAAACTTATCATCCTAGAAGCTTCATTAGTTCTTGCAGGATGGTGAGGGCTATGAAGGGATTAGTTCTGATAGGATGGGGGAAGGAGGGTTGGAAGGATCGTATTTTTTTTTCAGTCATCTGGTCTTAGCACTCTTCCTGAGAGCTCTTGGAAGGTTTATCTGTGCCCTCAGGGTCACCTCTATCAGAGTACAAATGGGGTGCGATCTTGGAACTGATGAAAGGACTGTATTGGAAATAGGAGATAGGAAACAAGTGGTATCTCCCTCTCTGTTGAGAGGTTCCTCCTCCTCCCACTCCTCCTTTTTAAAACAATTTTATGCCTTCCCATTTGTTTAGAAATGTTCTTTTCTGAATCACAGAAAAAACAATTACAACAACAAAATTTCTTTATTTCTTTCCTTTATTTATTTAACTTGGATTGTAATTCTTGTGACAAAATGACATGAGTCAATTAAGAGAAAATTGAAAAAAATTAATATCTTTTCCTTGTGGATCCTTTTCAGGTTAATAGTGCTTTTGGATGAACATAGTTAATTAATATGCATTAATACAATTTCCTTTCAGATAATCTATTTCAACATGGAAAGATTGGGAGAACACTTGTTGAAGTTCTAATCCTTGTTCCTTCTCCATAGTTAATGTTGCCTGAGGAGAGCTGTTATCATAAATAAACTTTTGCACTACATTGAAATCACATAAAATAAACAATAACAAACCAAACCATAAAACAATATTATACAGATACACTGTACATCTTTTTCATATTTTGTGGACCACATCTATTATCTTACACCTGAGGAAGCTTCAGGAATTAGTTAGAAGCCAACCACTTTAACCAAGTAAACTTTATTATACAAACCAGAAAACAATGTCTTCATAAAATACTGAATTTAACTCTGAGACAATTATTTTGTTGTCTTTCACTTTTGAATGCATCTCAGTCTTTTCATTTGGCAAATTAATCTGATCCACCAAGCAGACAAAGGTCAAGCTAGATTAGAAATCTTGAATCTTCCATTTTTTAAATTAAGTTTCTTATAATCATTTTCCACAGTCCATATTTTTCCTTATTAGATGGTCCTTTTTATTCAGTTCAGGCCTCAGGACAATTATGTAACACTTGGGGAGGAAAATACAACCAAGTAATCCAGCACTGGAACTCAGTAAAGCAAAGATTTCAACAGCCACCATATATTTTCCCTTTGAACTTAGATATGTTGGAACAAAAGATATCCAAACATTGCAAAATACTAACATGCTGAAAGTGATGAATTTGGCTTCATTGAAACTATTGGGCAACTTCCTGGCCAGGAAAGCCATAATAAAGCTGACAATAGCCAGAGATCCTAGATAGCTCAGAATACAATAAAACATAACAACTGAACCTTTGTTACACTCAAGTATAATTTCTTCAGTTAAGGAGATCATGTCCATATCTGGATAAGGGCAAGCTATACAAAGCCAGGAAATACAAATTCCTATCTGAATTAGGGAGCTGAAAAGGACAATGTAATTTGACAACCTTTTTCCTATCCATTTCTTTATAGCTGATCCTGGCTTAGTGGCCATAAAAGCCAGAACTACAGTGATGGTTTTTGCTAATACACAAGAGATAGCTATTGAGAAAATGATAGCAAAAGCTATTTGTCGTAAAGGGCAAATCACTTCCCCAGGACGGCCGATAAATAGCAATGAAGAGAGGAAGCAAAGAAGAAGGGAAATTAGGAGAAGATAAGAGAGTTCCCGATTGTTGGCTTTGACAATGGGGGTATTTCTATGCTTAATAAAGATTCCAAGCACTGCAGTTGTGAGCAGAGCAAAAGAACAAGCTGAAAGGGCTAAACTGATACCCAAAGCTTCATCATAAGTCAAAAAGTTTAAACTTTTTGTCAGGCATTTATCTTGAGATCTGTTAGGGTACTGATCTTCTGGACACTTGAAACAGTCATCCATATCTGAAGAATAGAACAGATTACATTTCAAAGTCTGTCAAGCATAGTACAGTTATTTCATTTACACAGATCTTCCTATAGTCAACATTAGACAGAGATTTATATTGGATCCTCATAATATTCTACAGGCTTTTCTCTATAGAATTTAAGATGGACAGCTAGGAGGCCTGGTACTTATAAGTCATTCATTTGTGTGTAATATAATTCACACTTACCACATTTGGATATTCACCTTTTTCTCAGTTTTACCATGCATGGTCTAATTTTTGTTTTAAACTGAGATGTTCAAAACTACATATTAGAGGAAAATAAATAGGTCAGTGAGTATGCGGATAAATCAGTAGGTCAAAAGTATACCAGGATAAATATTTTATTTATTTATTTATTACATTTGTTTGCTGCTCCACTCATTGCGATGCTTCTGATCTCTACAAATTATAAAGAGTTTTTATAAAACATTTTCAAACTGATTAAAAAAAAATACGAGTGGGATGAAATTGTCTGTAGAAAAATGAGAAGGGACACAATCAAAATGCATTTTCTTTATAAACCAAATACGAAATTGGCATGGGATTATAATTTATAGAAAAAAATATAATCACTTATCTTGAGACACTGTTGAGTTACACTCTTTATTCATTACTATTTGAAAATTATAAAAGTTGTAAATGGTGTTTTGCTTGTTTGTTTGTTTGTTTATTTATATTTCTTTGCCACCCATGTCACTACAATATTTAAATCCAAAGATATTTAATTTGTACTAGAAATAAAGAAACAAATTTTGTTTCCTACTTTTATGTAAAGTAAGGACAAGCAACTGGTTTATGTCTAAGGGTATTCTTAACCTTTTGCAGAACAATCATGAGTGGAGACATATTAAACGTGATTAAAACTGGAAATAGAAATATTTGCATATTTTCTTTCTTTTCTTTTAAAATCATAATGTACCTAGTTTATAGTTTATACTCCAGTTTTTATGTATTTCCAGTCCCAGATCAAAAAATAATAGTTAGCTTTCAGCAACCATGGTTAGAGCAGATACCAAGGGCTACAATTTGGTCCAGATGCAATCAAGAGACCAGAGATTTCACAACCTACCTTTGAAATAATGATTTTGTATTACATTCATAAATAAAAGTTTATGAAGAAAAAAAAATCCTAATCTCGTTATATTGTGTTTGCATATATGATTAATTAGAGCTAATTAGAATTAATTAGAATCTAATTAATTAATTAGATTATTATTTCATTGTGATACATTTCCCACTGTTCATTGCTTATGGATTTTTAATACTTCATTGAATTTTTATTTTTATTACTTTAAAAAGTAGTTATGGAAGATATATACAACTTTGATCTGTAATAATCCCTACAAATAAAAAGTAAAAAAAAGTCTTAAATTAGTTTTTGATCTATTCCATCAATTTCTTTATTTCTTCCAGTATGGAATTTGCTAGAGATCCTCCCCCACACATGTTCCCTCTGAAATCCTTTGAATTACATGTCTTCCTTGAAACAATAGGAAGTTTTTGAATACTTTGTGTGATGTGTTCTTATTTCAATCTTTTGAGTCAGGCTTGACTCCTGGTAACCCCAGGAACAATTCCATGCAGTTTTCTTGGTAATATTGTTCAGAAGTTTTTCCTAGTACAGAGAGAATGATTGATCCAGAATCATCCATCAAATTTTCATTCCTAAAGTGGGAATGGAGTTCACAGTCTTTCAGGTTCTTTCGGGTTCTAATCCAACACTTTAAACCATTACACCAAACTGTCTCTTAATAAAAAGGGAAGGAAGAATAGTTACCTTTCTGATCTGAGATCTTTCCAGCTGGACATGGAATACAGTCATAGCAACAAAATGGCTTCCCTTCCTGCTTTTTCCTGCTGTAACCTGGATTACAGTTTTCATTGCAGACAGCAGATGGTGGCACCTATGTATAAATAGAAAACTGTAGAAGTTTATTAATTCTTGAAACAGTATTTGGTTCTTATGTTATGTGGGAATGCTCTTTTTTGAAATGCTTTGGCATTATCTATGTGCTTTTATTTATTTGATCCTTCCTTAATTCTCTCCTCTATCTTAAGCTTTTTGGTACAGTTATATCCCAAGTTCATTTGAATCTTTCAGATACAGTATTCCTTCCACTTCATTCTTGAACCTCCCCCTGCAAATCTCCATTTCCATAATCAGGATTTCCTATCCATAATAGCTGCTGTGGCAGTTGATAGAAAAGCAAGTGTAGTGATTGATTATCAGATTTGTAGTCCTGTTTTATGATTTGGTGAAAAAAATACAACCAAACTATGGTTCCTGAAATACTTACCCAGTCTCTTAGTATTTCTGTTTTAATAGAATCATATTCTATTAAATAGAATCAGATTCTGTCATTATTTTGCCTGAACAATTTATAATTTTGTGTAAAAGTAAATTTAGTAGGTGAATATGAGGTACAAGGACTGAATGTCAAGGTCGGTAAAATGAGGACCCAGATTGTTGGGGACAATATGCTAATTCTGTAAATCGCTTAGAGAGGGCTGCAAAGCACTGTGAAGCGGTATATAAGTCTAAGTGCTAATTGCTATGACTCTGGGCAGCATAGAAATTTATGTATTTTATTGATGCACAGTTGCTACTGTGTATTCTTGTTGTTTCTTGTAACTCACTTCCCCATCACTGTACACCATACCTGCCTATATTTGCTTTCTGATCTGAAAAAAAAGGAAAGCATTCTCTTATAACTGGAATAAGCATTTGTTAAGGTCTGTGTAGTCCTCTAGCACTCAAGAATCTCAGATGCTGAAATTTGCTGTAACCCACTCCCCCCCACTCTCCAAGTTTGATAGTATCCATCTCCAATATTAACAGTGAGAATGAGACACTGAAGTCCTTCAGAATCTTATGGAAACCTGCAGAGCAGATGAGAGTTTTGTTATAATAAAATACGGGACATAAATGCATCTTGAATATGTGATAGCCCACAACTTCAGGGAAGTTTTATTTTCCTTTAAAAAATACTTTGAAAACTGGTTATTGTCTATCAAAGTTTAGAATGGCATATTTCATAAAACTACAGCTTCATTAAGAGATTTATAAAATCACCACTTCACTAACTATCATTAGGAACCTACCCACTTTATGTGCTAAAGGATGATGCCAAGCATCAATTTTGCAATACCTTCCTCATTTGAATTTATATCCTAGAACATATATTTTGGTCTAACCTTCTTAAACTCTTTGTGCCATACGATAAGATCTTCATTAATAATGAATGGTTTGTTGGGTGAAGCCTCTGGATCAATCCTTCCAACTTTGATATTTAAATGGGATTTGTTTGGAAAACCAATCAAATTTGTTATGTCATAACCGGATCTTAATTCACCATTTTCATTGAAAGACACATGGTCCCCAACACTGTTGTTAAATGAGATTCTGCTCAGGAAATGATGCAGCTGATTTGGAAGAAATAAAACATTCAGAGTTTAGCAGACAATTATTTCTTTGCTTGCTCTTATGTTTGTCCTATGGCTCTATCTCTGACTCTGTCTACATCTATATACATCACAACATATGTCTCACTAAAAATTTATTGTATAAATGAAGAATCTAAAGCTCTCTATGAAAGTTGATGGAATTCAGTTTGTAATAATATCATCAAATATAACTCATGATGAGGTCTGATGGGAGTTTTGGTCATACCTCCTCCTACTACTGGTACGTAAGGAATGGGAACAGAAGTTTCCCATTTGTATTCTATATTTTGTATCACATCCTACAGCATTTATTATTTCATTTATCATTTATTATTCATGCAGGATAGTTATCTACAGAACAGCATACAAATTGGAAAATAAAGAAATAAAATAACAAATAGGGCACTTTGAATGTTTTCTTACCTTCCAAGGATCTAGATTCAGAAAGTCCACTCCCGCTTTATCTGTCCTTGGTTTCAGCCTAAATCTGGAGGACTTCAAGTTATGTAAAACATGAGCAATGGCATAGACAGAATTGTAGATGCTGTAACTTTGACCAGTTATACTTATTTGAAAAAAAGATTTTGGTAGGTTTTCTACACTTCCATCCCAAACACACTTTTTTTTGTTTTCCTGGTGCATATTAAAACAGGGTATCAAACACTCTTTCTCCCAAACGAACTTGGAAATGCCATCTTCTTTTGGCCAGTATACATTAAGGAGCTCAAGGAAAGGCTGAAACCCTGGTACTTCATTAATTTGAATTGCAAAGGATAAAGCACCATGGAAAGTTTCTATTGCCATCTTTTTGAGAAATGTTGGTGATCCAAAGTCCCAATGAGCTGTGGTAATCCACACTTTGCCCAAACTTACTTCTCCCAACTGTAACATATTTTTGAAGCTCCACATTGTTTGAGTATCTGAATATATGACAATTACATTGGTTGTGATATTTTGGAGAAAACGGGTCATACTTTGAATATGTTGTGTCAAATGAACAATGTGGACTAAATCAATTAAGGGTTGTATTCTTCCTGTGAAAGCTGCACAGATTCCATTCTGGGAAAACATTGGTAACATGGTTGCCATAACCTTCTCTCCTTTATCTGAATTTGTTACAACAATTCCAACCCAAGTCCATTGGAAATGGAGGAGCAGCTGAACAATTCCATGAAACTGCTGTGCTTCACCAGGAACCATACGATAGAAGTAAGGTATCCTGTTGCCAGTATCCTTCTCTATAGCAAAAAAGCAATAAGCAACCTAATTTAAAAAGAAGCATTTAAAAAAAAAACCAATCAGGTAAACAGTTTATTTATCTTATAAATTCTCCTATAGAAATCTACAGATTAAAGTTCATGCATCTCTATGTGTCATTTAATTAAATTATATTGCTGTTGTATATGCAAAATTAGATATTTCTATTTTCTTAATAAATCTTACAATGCAGAAATTTTATTTTGTTTTTGATGTTAAAAAAATAGAGTTAAAAGGTGATTTGAACTGGAGTGCTTCTCCCTTATAATTTGTGATGGTTTTGTATATTTTATCTTGACTATTTAATCAAATACAATAATGGTGAAGCATTTTTATGTTGCTTGGTTTTATTTTTTTTCTTCCCATGAATATGTGTGTGTGTGTGTGTGTGATTTTATAACTGCTTACAATTCGAGTTCTCCACGTTCAAGGGAAGAAAAAAAGTACAACTCTCCCTGTTTTGTTTCATTTCTATCATAAATCAATTGATAACTATTGTTTAGTTTTCTTTTTCTGTAGGTACACAACAGAATGAATATTCATGGGAAAAAAATCTGACTTGAACTTTTTGAAATGTCACTGTTACATATTTGATGCATTTGAAAACTACAGAGTAAATGTAATATAAGAAACCAAAACAAACCTTGACAGGTTTGTATTTATTTCAATGTTTTTAAAAAGATACACGTGTTATTTGTATTTATTAATATTTGCCATACATGTACATGAACCTGAAATTTCTTTAGAATTTTCCATTTTTGTACATAAGCCATAAAGAGAATTTTAATAGCTATAAAGGGAATTTTAGATAAATAACCAGGTACCAGCAACTGATTGTAAATCAATTTTTTCCATATTCTTTTTCCTTGGTTTTCTGAAGCCTTAGAAAGGGCTAAGAAACAGTGTGAAGTAGGATATCAAACTTTCTTGTGTACATATCCTACCTGTGGAATCTTGTAAGCGATTAAGATGTTGGCCATCAGAAGTGAGTTTTCGGAGTCAGATTCTCCAATGACAACTGGTAACATATTCCGTTTTTCACAGCTATAATTAGGGATAGTCCTTTCTTGGCTGGATAGAAGCTTCAAAGTATTCAGATATATCATCCTTGCATCAATATAGCTATTAGAGATGTGGAATCCAAGGCTAATGTTTGGTAAGATTTTTGGATTCCTATTGATCTCCTTTACTGCATATACTAAGGAGAGTATATGTTGATTGTTTATTGGCATTTCACTGGAATGAGAAGTTGTATTCTTTATCAAATGGTCACACTACAAAGAGATAAAAAAAGAAAACAAGGAGAAAAACAAAGAGATGGAAACTGCAGGCAAAAATGGGGGGTTTACATAAATTAAAAAAATGCAGAGAAGGGTGAAAGAGAGCAGAGACAAACAACTGCAATATCAAGAATGTTATCTTAAAGTATATTGACAATGTGTAGCTCAGCCTATGCATGTTTCAAGTGGCATATTTAAATTACCGTTGTTCTCTTTACATTTGTAATGCAAAATGCAATGATTAAAGACTACTATGAGAATTGTGAACCTTGGAGATGACAATATTCTTCCCAACATGTTCTTTAGTATCCATCGAACTTTCTTCCCTATCTAATTTTATTTTAAAATTCTTTTAGTTAAAAGTGTATATATATAACAAAGTTAAAAAAAAAAAACCCAAACACCTGACTTCAAGGTATCTCAAAGGTGCTTTTTCAAAAGGCAACTGGACTGTTTTTTCCTTGAGGAAGAAGAAGATGACGTTTCACTTCTCATCTATCAGTTGTGATTTAAAGATAGTTTTTTCCAACAAGGATTCAGAGTTTCACACTTGAACCCAGAGATATTCTTATAAAACAAAATGAGAGTGATTATAGTTCTGAGTTTGCTTTCAGGTTTTTTGATATGATTGATGTGATTGAGAGACTTCAGCCTTACAAATTTCTCACCCTTAAAATTTACCACTCCACTAAACAAAAGTTAAGAAACAGACAGACAGACAGATAGATACTTACACTGGTGATTCAAAAAGCCATGGATTTGGATACTGTTTGAAGTCTATTGTATCGGAGAATGGATAGGACTGAGAAGCAACCCCACCAATGATAAAATCACCAATCTGATAATATTCTTGTGGTTGCTTAAAGGGGTTGCTCAGTTTGCATATAATGTCATATGCCTTGCCTAGAGATACAAGCAACAACCACACTGAAAGCATAAAAAATGTCGTGTCCATCCCTATGGCTGATATTGATCTTTTTCTTTTATTTTAAATGAGATGATAATGCCCATCAAGCTCCAATTTTTCCTTGTTCCTTGCCTTGCCATCTATATCTGTTTATAAATATGCTTCATTAGCTTTTAAAATTTTAACTTTTAAAATGTATGTGAGTTTGGGAGGGACTGAAGTTGAATCATAATGATCTGAGATAATGATTGGTTTTTTTTAATGAGATCTCCAAAGAATATTTGTTGAAAGCATCATGTCATGTCAAATGTTTAAATGTTCAAGATAGCATGCTATTCTCTTATACAAAAGTAATATTTACATGTTATAAGAATTACAACAAGATCATCAAGTACAGGGAAATGAACTATACTTGGTGAACTTGTCAATTGTGACCTTCCAAAAAAGTTCAGCTTATTCATGGCCTCATTTAAGAATAAATAGAACAAAGAAATGAATGAAGGTAGAAAAAACTAAAAACCATTTTAATATTAATTAAATTAACATTAATTTGATTAAGTACAGTTAATATAGTTCTGATCTATTATATCCTACATTTCCTAATGCCTTCATCTAAAAAATAAAAATTTTATATCAATTTTGGATTGTTTGGAACCACGTTCAAGCTGCATAGTATATGTATACACAGTAATAGTATGTGAGAATGACCTTAGGAGACAGGAAGAAGAGACATAAACTTGACAAACATAATGTAAAAGATATCCCAATCCACAGAAGGAGAAGGGGTATAGGAAGTGTTTCAGAAGGTACCCTCCTTAGTTTTATGGAGAGTGAAAGTAGAGGAAGGGGAAATATAGACCAGGTGTCTCAATAGAAAAACACTGACTGTCTGTCTGTCTGTCTGTCTGTCTGTCGGTCGGTCTGTCTGTCCGTCCGTCCATCCATCCATCCATCCATCCATCCATCCATCCATCCATCTTATCTATCTATCTATCTATCTATCTATCTATCTATCTATCTATCTATGTATCTATCTGCAGTGGTGTAATTCAAATTTTTTTACTACCGGTTCTGTGTGGGTGGCTTGGTGGGCGTGACAGGGAAAGGATACTGCAAAATCCCCATTCCCTCCCCAGTCCTGGGGGAAGAATATTCCAAATCTCCACTCCGACTCCACTCTGAGGCCAGCCAGAGATGGCATTTGCCGGTTCTCTGAAGTACTCAAAATTTCCGCTCTTGGTTCTCCAGAACCTGTCAGAACCTGCTGAATAGCATCCATGTATATATGTGTGTGTGTGTGTGTGTGTATGTGCGTGCGCGCGTGCACACACACACACACGTGTCTCTGTGTGTGTTTGAAGTTTAGGAACTGTTAGACAACTAATTTAGCAAAAGAGAGAGGAATCTTGAAGGTTGCATTTTTGGTGTCTTGACTTGATTTAGGTTTACATTAGACTTTCAGTGTAGGGATTTTGCATTGTATTAATTTGCAAAATATTTATTTTTAATTTACAGACAAAGTATACTTAATATTCTTTCTTATTTTTCCAGGTATGTGCTGTATACTTTATTTCAGCTTCCTCATTGAACATTTACACTAATATATGGTAACAAAAATATTTTACCATTGTTGTACCAGATGGTTCCAAATGTCTATCAATACACTGAGGGTATTCAAATAATTTAGCACTTTGGATGGACATGGATTGATCTTTTGCCTGTGGATGATGATTTTAGCCCATGAGTTTGTCGTGCGGGTGGTTATGGGAGTGACGTGGAGTTCCCATGTAACACCTCTCCTGCGCGAGCTGCACTGGCTCGCGGTAGTCTTCCGGATGCGCTTCAAGGTTCTGGTCATCACCTTTAAAGCGCTCCATGGCTTAGGACCTGGTTATTTACGGGATCGCCTACTACCACCAATAGCCTCCCACCGGTCAGTACGCTCCCATAGAGAGGGGCTCCTCCAGGTGCTGTCGGCCAAACAATGTCGGCTGTCGGCCCCTAGGGGGAGAGCCTTCTCTGTGGGGGCACCTATGATCTGGAACGAGCTCCCTCCGGAGATACGGAGGATCCCGGATCTGCGCACCTTCCGCCGTGCGCTTAAGACTCTTCTATTTCATCAAGCCAGCCTGGCCTAAATCTTCCCCCTTTTAAATGTGGAAATTTTAAATTTGTTTTAATTATAGGGTTATGGGTAAGGCATTTTAAATTGGGAAGCCATTTTGGATTTAATTTTTTTTTAAATGTATTTTAATGTTTATATTATATGTTTTTTAATTTTGGCTGTTCACCACCCCGAGTCCTTCGGGAGAGGGGGCGGTATAAAAATTTAATAAATAAATAAAATAAATAAAATTGTACCTGCTCTGGTACGTTGCCCCAGACAACATTTGTTAAACTTTCATACTTAGAAGATCACAGTTGACCTATGTCAATGAATACATACACTTGATTTCAATAGCATTAAGATATGCTTTTTTTAATGGATCAAAAAATTCATGTATGTTTTGTATATGGAGTTTATCTATCCATGCAAAAGTTGAGAGTGATAATTTTTGTAGCATCTTTGATTTGGAGAAAATAAATCCTTAAAAGGGGATATATTTCAACATGAAAAGATGGAAGTGTTTAATGTGAATGATGATTACTTGTATGTAAGTTTTAAATGGTTTATTAAATTTCAAATATAAAAATTTGAAATATAAAATTACAACAAATAGGAAAAAGTATACAGGGGATGACAATGAGAAAAGCTTAAAACTCATCCAAAGCAATATACCTCTCTTTGATATGGGTATAATTATATAATAACATAATCTCTTGTTTTGGTTTAACTAAAAGCAGATGCAAACCTTAACATAAATAGTATACATATCTAACAATCAAATGATACCAATAAGTAGCATCATAGTCTCTGACTCTAAATAAACATATAACCCATAATAGCATTTCCACAAATGCACATAATAGTATTAGGTATTTAATCAAATATATATACTTTAAATTTAATCAAATTCATAAAAGCATAAAATAAATGTTGATCCAATTTGATTTGGTGGTTCAAGCAAGAGGCTATAAACATTCTTGCAGTCACTTTGAGCACTCTGATGCAAGTAAAAACAAATAGATGGCCAGCATTTGAAAGTGTGTCTGATTAAACATGCCATGATCCCCTCCCATAACTAAAAAAGAAAAGAAAAGAAAGAAAGAAAGAAAAAGAAAGAAAGGGAGTTGTTTTGTATATAAATTTTCAAAGGAATGCAGGAATTGATTGACTGATAAGCATGGCAGATTGGATGGTATAGAAATTAATTCACATGGAATTAAGACTTTGATACTGGAAATTTATGCTCCAACAGAAGACAAAATACTATTTTATAAATAATCTATAAAGAATTAAAAGGTTTTCTTATGAAAGTTGGTGTTTGAGGGGGGATTGGAATATAGTGATCACCCACAATTCGACAGAATTTCTCATAAGAATATTAAAATCACCTAGGGCAAATTACCAAAAGATTTCTTTGATCTTGATGGGTTATAAATGTAGCATGAAAATGAATCTAATATACTAGATTTACCCAGTAACCTGTATTTTTTGGAGTATAAGATGCTCTGGAGTATAACACGCACATTTGTTTTTGGGGAGGAAAACAAGAAAAAAAATTCTGCCTCTGCCTACCAGCATCCATTGGCATTCATCTTGCTAGTGTCCTTGCAGCAAACAGCAAAAAGCCTAGTCAGCTTCAGCACGTTATCGCAGCCTGATTCAGCATGAGCAGCTGATTGGCGGTTGGATCAGCTTCCCAGAATACCGCCAATCAGCTGTTCCAGGCTGCGGGGATCACCATAGCCCATTGCTGCCTCAGCATGTTACATTTTTTGCCTTTGCGTATCACATTTGGGCCTCCGAAAGCTCTGTTTTAGACCTGTTCCAGGTTGCCAGGTTTGCCACAACACATCGCCACCAATCGCTGCCAATCACCACTGATTGCTGCTGATGCTGCCTCCATATGTCACGTTTTCAGCCCCTGCACATCACATTTTCGACCTCAATATGCCCCATTTTTGGCCTCTGTGTGTCGCATTTTTGACTGGTTCCAGTTAGCAGAGATTGCCGCCAATCCCTGCCGCT